CCACCTGACAAAGCGCAAACCCCCCTCCCCCTAAGGTATGTTCAAAGCGACATATTTTACTTGTTTTTTAAATCAACGGATGGAAGTATGATACTTTACGTTTATTTCTAGATAGATGGATGAGATGGCTTGAACTTGAACTGATCATAGACGTTAATATAGATGGAGAATGTGAACCCGCTAGTTCAGCAAAGCGCCATATGCAAGTGCTCATGGATCTAAGACAGCCTCAGTCCTGGATCCACAGCCTCAGACCTGGATCCACAGTCTCAGTCCTGGATCTACAGCCTCAGTCCTGGATCTGCAGCCTCAGTCCTGGATCTACAGCCTCAGTCCTGGATCCACAGTCTCAGTCCTGTATCTACAGCCTCCAGCTCATCGGATCCCTTCCTCAATGTGGGCCTCACTGAGGTTTCTCCCATTTCTCCCTCTGGGTTTCTGAATAGTTCCTTGCCGATGCAGGAAGGTCTAAGGACAGTGATGATCCGGGACATTTCTGTACATTTATTAACATTTCTGGACAGTGGTCATCCTGCTCCCTATAGACCCATTACTCCTATCTGTTTGTTAGTAGTCGGAATTTTTGATTCTCTGATCTGTTGTGTGTGATTTAGGGCGATACACACATATATTACATTGCGTTACATGTCTTTATGACCAGAACACTCCGGTCGGAGGGGTCCTGTGTTGTCTGAACTCGACGCAGCTGATTTCTCTGATTCCTCTCTGCAAGGGTAGCCTCTAATAGATTCCGCCAGCCCCATGTTTTATTAATGCCCACTGCTCTCCAAGGTGGCAGTGACAAATCGGGAGCACAATTCACTGACTAGCGCTGACTGTACGTTTTAGTCATGCTCCGACGTATGCCAGTCCATCGCCCTCGCCCCTCGTCTGCCTCCGAAGCCGCTGGAGCAAGGACCGCTCAGAACACACACTCCCCTTGTTGTTTAGAAAAGACCGGCCAAAGCTGGGGGCCCTCACTTTCAAACTGCTAATTAATATAGCAACTGTTTCATGGAGATTCAAATATGCTAACACACATACTTAAAACTGCTTACAGAGGCCTCCAAGTGCAGTGAATAGATATACTATCTCATACATTGGACTTTGGTCTGTGAATAAGCCGTATGTTCTTGCCATTTTAGGCCTACGTGTTCCTCACATTGAAGCCATATGGTTCATTCTGCTATGTCATGTGTTTACGTCATCATTTAAGGCCTATATATGCGCCATCCTTCTCCGTGACAATCAGACTTTGGCAGAGTTGTAGTGACTTTCATAGAGTTGTAGAGACTTTCACAGAGTTATGCAGACTCTTGACTAGACTTCTGCAGGATCACCCATGGACCAGACTTTGGAGCTGTCTGGGATCTTGCTTAAAACTGCTTATAAATACCAACTGTAACCCCTGTACAACTGTATATATGTATATATTTTGTAAATAATCTCACAGTGCACTTCAAGCCCAAAAAATAAAAACGCATATATATTCAAACTATAACTGTGTTTTTGTTTAATACTATTCAACCTCCTTGAGCGAACCCTAGAGCTTATGATTCAAGTCCAGTATTTACTATAGCTAACTCATACTTAACTTATACTGCTTAAGTGACTTTTAATTAGCAGTGAGTGCTACACAACCTTCTGATTTCTCTTTGTCTAAGCTAAAATTAATTCACAGAGACATAATCTTCAAGTGATCGCGGCAATTTCCGTCAGGTCTCTGTTGTTTGGACTAGCTAACACTTGAAAAAAGGTAAAACTGAGAATAAAACTTCTAGGTTCTACTCTGGCGCCTAAAGATCCCGTCTAAAGTCTTCCTAGACTAGAGTCAATGGGCCTCATTCACGAATAACTTCGTAAGAAACTTCTCAAATTTCTTCTCAAGTTGTCCTTAAGTAGATTTCTAAGAAGTCCCTACGTGGGATTCATCAACGCACTCGTAAGCCGCTGAATTGTTCGCAGCTGTTCTCTTAGATTGATGAATCCCATTTCCTCGTAAGTACAGCGCGCGTGCCAGGTGCTTCATTAGCATAGGTACTTAGCATAAGTAACCGCCCATTAATGCCCATATAAGGGACTGCAGGGCCGTGTGCAGACGGCTGAGGAAACAGCAACAGGCCTAAAGCAAAGAGTTACACGGAGCAAAAGAGTCACCCTTTTTTCTTCTTTTGCCAGACTGAGAATAAAGTTATAAAATGTTGACTTAAAAGTCGAAATATTATGAGAATAAAGTCGAACTAGCAAAATTATGAGATTAATCTAAGAATATGATGAGATTAATCTCAAAATGTTATGAGCTTAATTTAAAAATATATTATGTATTATTTTAAAGATGAATCTCAAAATGTTTTGAGATTAATCTCAAAATATTTTGGACCCGGGGAGGAGATCCAGCGCGGAACAGCGCTGAGACCAATGCAGACCCGAGGAGAGACTGGAGTGACCAGCACACAGAAACCAGCGCGGACCTATAGGAGAGACCGCATAGACTGGAGTGACCTGACTGGAGAGACCGGTGCGCAGAGAACAGCGCGGACCGAAGAGAGACCGCATAGACCAGACTTGAGAGACCAGCGCGGACCCGTGTGGATCCAGGAGCATGCAGCACGGACCCGTATGGAGAGACCAGTGCAGACCCGTCTAGAGCCATGGGAGAGACCAGCGCAGACCCGTATAGATCCATGGGAGAGACCAGCGCAGAGACTCAGCGCGGACCCAGTAACCTCCTGCAGCAGCAGTATATATGCTGTTGTTCTGTGGCCCGTGGATAAAGAAATGCCCCCTATAAATAGGAAGGGGTCACTAATACACGGCAAGATTTCCAATGTATTTGATAAAGCGTTGGCACATTTCATTTCAAAATGAATTAAAAAGTAGGCCAGATCTGCAGTGAAAAAGGCGGTATATAAATAAAGATTACTAATAAAGATTACTACAAATAAATAAATACGCCTCCCTGGGGAGGTGTTCCGGGCACGTCCCACCGGGAGGAGGCCCCGCGGAAGACCCAGGACACGCTGGAGAGACTATGTCTCTCAGCTGGCCTGGGAACGCCTTGGGGTCCCCCCGGACGAGCTGGAGGAAGTGTGTGTGGATAGGGAAGTCTGGGCGTCTCTGCTTAGACTGCTGCCCCCACGACCCGGCAACGGATAAAGCGGAAGAAAATGGATGGATGGATGGAATAAATACATACATCGATATGACGGACATATCACTGGAATGTTGTATTATTATTAAACTTCACCAAAGAGGACAACACCAGCGTGCGGACATGTCGGCACTGAATGCGTACGAGTGCTCCTGAGGACTCGTAGGATTTGTACTTGCCCAAGAGAAATTCTGGTTACGAGAAAAATTCGTGAATGCCACTTTCTTCGTAAAAACCTCGTAAGTAGGATTTACGTACAAATCTGTTCCTAAGAACCGTTCGTGAATGAGGCCCAATGTCTTTTGTTCCTGGTCTTTATTAAAAAAAATCTAAATGTAAATACAGAGGACCGCCCTGAATCAGCCAATCAGCTCTCAGCCCAAAGAGAGACTCACAGGGATTGTTCATACACAATCAAGATCAGGTTTTCCAAGCTCACTTTCCAAGACAATTTAATAATAACTAATAATTCATTTTTTTCATGGCGCCTTTCAAGACACCCAAGGACGCCTACAATATGCTAAAAAACCATAACGCACACAATTAGTAGTACAGAATATATAAAATGACAAAAAATAAGCCAGTTTAAAAAGGTAGGTTTTGAGATGTGATTTGAAACTGTCGCAGGTCGAGCGATAGAGTGTCCCAGAGTTTAGATTTGCACTTTTTTATAATATGTCAGATAATGTAGACGTAGTAGATAACTTTTACTGGGAGTGATTTGAAATGGATTTATCAAAAAACAATGGGAAAGAATCTCCGTAAAACACTCCTGTCTTGTTTGACGAGACGCACGACAACCTCACATTTCACCAGAATGACTGACGGCTGGGAGGACCAATGCTCTTGATGATCTACCCTGAAATTTTTTTCTCCTATACACCTTCAGTTCATCCAAAGATGTTCCAGTTTCGGGATTATTCTTCAAAATGGAGGGTAAAAGTCCAAGCAAATGTAGGTGATGTATTGAGAAAGTAAATGTTTGATGGTTTCCTTGCTCATTGTCAGAGAGAGATTTAAACATTCCCACACTGCAGAAGACACATGACGGGGAGCAGATAGATCTTGAGCCGCAGTTGCCCCAGGGCATACTGACAGACATGGGGAGGCCATTTCTCACCACTAGCCTCAAAGCATCACCGATCACTCAGGGGCAGTACAAGGAGCACAAGGAGAAGGTGGTGTCCGATGGGCTCAACGTTAAAGTTATATTAAGAAGACAAAGAGAAGAGAAGTGAGAGGGTGGTGCAGTGGTTAGGTTCTGCTGCTATGTCTACCCTTTGTTGTGTTGTTCAAAGTAGAAATAAGCAAAACTCACGATGGTTGAGGTTAAAAATTTCTGTTTTTATTTCTAATTATTTTTTTATTTTTTTCAATTATACATGTTTTTAGTGGTAGGGGAAACCGGAGTACCCGGAGGAAACCTACGCAGACACGGGGAGAACATGAAAATCCACACAGAAAGGTCCTGGGGGCCCTTCTTACTGTGAGGCACAAGTGCTAACCACTGTGCCACCGTGCCGCCCTCACAGCATCTGTCTGACCCCACATGTTCTCAGCCCAAAGAGCTCGGTCTTGAGCAGAACTTCAGCTCAGATCTGGATCTCATGGTTTTAACCAAAACATGGAACACGTCCTCATTTTGTTCATTTCATTCCTCATCTCACCTTGAAGCAGCTGTCAATCACACTTTACTGAAGGGAAAGGCCCGCCCCCTCCTCTGTGAGACCTACAGCTGCAAACAAGGTTCAAAGTCCAAATGAAATGAACAGAATCTAGATGTGTCCATGAACAAGGTTCAGACCATAAGACCAAACCAGACTCTGTCCCTGTCTGCTCCAGACCAGACTCAAAGGACCTGAACATGTGGTGTCAGCAGCTCTTCTGTTGCCCTCTCTGACCTGAAGTCTCTCTGACCTGGAGTCGCTCTGTCCTGAAGTTCGTCTGTCCTGAAGTCGCTCTGTCCTGAAGTCGCTCTGTCCTGAAGTCGCTCTGTCCTGAAGTCGCTCTGTCCTGAAGTCTCTCTTGATGTGAATAACATGCACATGCTGACACACAGACAAGAGTGAATAAAGTATAACCACCATAACAATTTATATTACCAGTAATCACATGTACTAACAATTATATTGATCAGTAAATGTTCTTATAAGTATCTCCATAAAATGTTCTTATATTATCAGTAAGCATAATAGGCCTTTGTTATATGTGTTAGTGCGGTCAGTGAGAATTCAAGGACAGGCTAGTCTCTGTGCAAAAGTAACCATTTCAGGAACGATGTGTCTGCTTCCCATGAGACAAAAATCCGGACCAGGCCAGTCTCGGGGACTGAGGTGATAAGGAGCCCATGACGTCTTCGAGGGACGAGTCCTGATCTTCAGCACATTTATAAAACTGTATTATGTAGAAATTGTGAACTAGTCTGGACAAGGGACCTGCAGTATAAAGTCAGAGCGCCTGACTTTATACTCATATATAGATTTGAGAGGGAGAGCTAACTAAGTCCAGACCGCTGTTTAGACTCTTTGTATCAGGGAATAAAGTCTTTGGATTTAACTTTTCGAATACTGGTCATCTTTATATGGGATTTTGAACACGTCACATTTTTTACAATACTCTGTCCTGAAGTCTCTCTGACCTGGAGTCGCTCTGTCCTGAAGTCGCTCTGATCTGGAGTCGCTCTGCCCTGGAGTCACTCGGTCCCGAAGTCGCTCTGTCCTGAAGTCGCTCTGATCTGGAGTCGCTCTGCCCTGGAGTCACTCTGTCCCGAAGTCGCTCTGTCCTGAAGTCTGGATCTGAAGTCCAACACATAGGTTCGATCACATTCCACTGTATGACATAACATACAGTAATCTCCATGGCAACCAGGCAGAATGGATTTCTATTTGATAAATAAGATTGTTGCAATGGTGACCCCTGGAAACCACTTCCAGCAGCCATTTTGTGAATTAGATTAAGGCCTTACTTTCTTAGTAGTAGTAGTATGCTATAGTTGCAGTAGTGTCATGTTCTACAAAACAATGGTTGAAGAAGGTCCTGGGTTCGAATCCCGGTTGGAACACGGCCTTTCTGAGTGGAGTTTGCATGTTTTGTATAGCTTGCTTTGTTTTATTTCTGTTCTTGTCTTGTGCAGACTGAGCACTTTTGCGTACATATTCCAATGTGGCTTTACTGCAAACGACAAATGAAATGGCTCTGAATCTGAGTAAACTTTTGCACCACTACAGCCCCCTCCTCTCCGCTCTATGCTCTCAGCTCTCCCAGGATCGTGACAGGTGAGCAACCGCCGGAGCTCCAGGGGGACAGCCGCGAGTTAACCCACATCTAAGTGTCCGATCGTGGGCAAAGCTCTCCGCGTGACGGGTCATACCTGGACTTGACAGCTCGGCCTCGGCTCGGGCCCAGAGGTGAGGGTGCATGTGCTGGGGCTTGACAGACACGATAAGGGGCCCTCACCTGCAGCACCGCTGAGCATATGTCGCACTCACACCTTTGTCGAGCGCTGGAGGAGAGAGAGGGGGGAGTAACGGGGGAGGAGAGGGGTTCACCTGTCAGAGTGGTGAATACAAACACTGGATCACAGTCACCACTGCGTGTGACTCAGTCTGGGATGTATTCGTACACAGCTTGACTCACGAGACCGGCTTTCCCCTGCCCACACTGCGAAAAATCTGGAGGTACAGCAGCTAAAAAACTATATTTTTGCCTTGAATAAGAGCAGTATGTAAAAATCTGGTCAAAAGTTGTACTGCAGCCTCTCCCACTCTCCCTGACTCAGGTTGCCAGATATGCAGACGAATCCAGCTGGGGCCGTAACAGCTGAATAAAGTTTTGTCAACAACAAATCTATAACCAGCACCTTTTTCACAAAGATAGAAATCCTGGTTTTACTCCTTGTTTTGTGATAATGATTTGAGAATCATAACGAGACCTTTTTTAGTTCTGCGCCACACGGTACTTTAATAGTTAGATTAGCTAGACAGGGTGAGTTCAGCCAACCCGGATTACAGACTTTCTGATTGGTAAAACGGCGGAGGGAGGGATATCGAAATGAAAACTACCTTTTGAGAGATTAGGGCCCTTTAATGCTGACATGACATGAAAATCTAACATATTTCTACTTTAATTTGCAAAAAACATATAGGTAGGTAGAAGAATACTGGACAGCGTATAATTTTACTTTTACCATGTCGGGTTTTGAAAATACAGATCGATTTTATTGCCAAACACGTAAAGTTGCAACCCTTCTAGAGCATTTGTTGAAGTTTGTAGCTTGAGGAATCCAAAATTTTTACATTTTATCAAAACAGAGATATATGAAGGTTATTTTGTGTTTTTATTATCAACACTTTTTTTTGCTTTTGAATTCTATAAACTGTAACAAAAAAGTATTCAGTGTAAATAAATTCAATGTTTTAAAATTCAGTGTCCAAAAATTCAATGTTTTATAATTCAGTGTCCAAAATATTCAATGTTTTAAAATTCAGTGTCCAAAAATTCGTTGCATTTTTTTTCGCTACTTGAAATGTCATGCTTTATTTCCGGGTAAATCAAGAACAAAGCAATCGATCAACCAATCCTCCATAGATGTAGCCAGGGCCAGAACACGACTTTGGCTTTATCCGAATGTCCACACTATACCGTGCGGGACAATTGTGAGTGAGTGACTGAGTGAGTGGACTCATTCTGATGGCGATTCGGACGCTGCACACTATTATCAGGCCGTGCTGTTGTACGTGAGCGTCCCGCTGTAGCATGGATCACGGAGCGGAGAGAGGAGCGGCCATGATGAGGTAAAGGTAAATGTTGAATTTACGTTTTAATTAGGACATAACATTTAATTGTATTAACATTGGAGGTGGGAAATAGCCCCTTCTATTGTTATATCAGAGGTCTGTTTGGTGATTAAACAGACTTTCTTTGGACTTTTTCTCCAGCCTTGAGCTCCAGTGCTAACACGCTAACCACGGGTGTAGAGCTGCGCTGATGCCCAGAATGGAGCGTCATGTGCTGGGAGTCATTTTGAGAGCTCCCTTATGCTAACAGTCTTAATTGTGGAAGTAATTATGAAAACCCAAAAAGGCGGCTTTTGTATCATACTTTCTCTGTTATAACAATTGTTTTAAGAGTAATCATTAGTCTTAAAAATTTGATATTTCATGTAAATAATGCATGTGTTTAGTGCGATTGATGGATTTGCTATGGCCCTCGTTTGTGCATCACTTTGTTGTAAAGTAATTTGTATTAAGTAAAAATGTGATTATGTGCAGGAAGACATCTGTGAACATGAAGCTGGACACAGAACACGCGTGGACTTGAACTTACAGACCAGATTTTAAGGTCATGAGTACTTACTTTTTGAGCACAAGCTCCTTGCCTCTTGAAATCCAACAGACCTGATCATATCAGAGTTAATGCCTTAAATGTATTTAAGATTAGAAGTAGTACTTAAATACAAGCTATGAAACATGTTTCTCACGGATTGTGTGGTTGGTTAAAAAAAACGCATACATCACTTTTCATTGCACACAAAGAACTAAATCAATTATTTTATTTTATTCCAGGTTGTGATGAGTCCACCGTAGAAAAGACAGTCAGACTGTTGTTACTGCTGCTGCTGTTGCTGCATATGTCTTCAGAAAATGAGAGATGTGTTCTAACTATCCATGACTTGTAATTAATAAAACAAATGAACATATTGGTCGTTGTAGTTTATATCGTAAACCACAGAAGCTGGAGGTGATGGAAATGGATGAAGAAATGATGGCCTCTGGAAGACAGCTGCCTCTGGAAAAGAAATTCACACAAAAAAATCATTAATTTAAACAGACCCGGTTCTTCTGGGATTAAAATGAGCCTTTTGTTACAATCAGACATGTCGACATATGTTCATATACTGACCCAGTCAAATTAATTAATATAAATACACAGTAGTATAGTAGAAACAGACGCTCTGAGGAGGAGCAGAAGTACGATGCCTTTACAAACACACACATGAACTTAACATGTCATATCAACAGTAAATGTAAATACATTGCCAGTCTTTAACAGGAGGCTGGTAGAGTGGGATTTACAAATATACTCAATTAAAACCTATCAGTCTGATTCCTCTCTGTAGCATTAATATTGAATCTGTGGGTTTGTTTTCTCCCTAAAGAATCGATCCTTCATTCCGTCTTGGTTTCACTAAGATGTCAAAATTTGAGAGTAAAGATAGAATAATTATCGGAGGTCTAGATACATAAAAATTAACAACATAATTAACAACAACCCCTTAGCATGCTCTGTCTCTAAACAGTCCACAGGTTTCGTCCTTGCTGCACTTCTAGAATAATATACACATTGAAATTGGGAACATGGTACATATGTCACACAAGAACCGCAAACCCCATGTACTTGGCTTTCCTGCGGTTCATTTTAGCTTAGCATTAGCGAAGATCAGCTTTGGGGAATCGCCAAAACGTAGAAGCCACCTTCGCGGAGCTAGCTAATGATAAGCTAAGGTAAAAACATGTTCAGAAAGTACAAACAGCAGTAGTTTGCGTGTTACATACCAACTAATGATGAGAAAACACACTTACTGGTTTGCTGTGGACGCCATGTTCAGATGAACAAGACAAGTTGTGTTCTGGCCCTGGCTACATCTATGGAAGATTGGCTGATCGATTGCTTTGTTCTTGATTTACCCGGAAATAAAGCATGACATTTCAAGCAGCAAAAAAAAAATGCAACGAATTTTTGGACACTGAATTTTTTTCAACATTGAATTTTTGGACACTGAATTTTAAAACATTGAATATTTTGACACTGAATTTTAAAACATTGAATTTTTGGACACTGAATTTTAAAACATTGAATATTTTGACACTGAATTTTAAAACATTGAATTTTTGGACACTGAATTTTAAAACATTGAATTTATTTACGCTGAATACTTTTTTGTTACAGTTTATAGAATTCAAAAGCAAAAAAAAGTGTTGATAATAAAAACACAAAATAACCTTCATAGAGATACTGTATATGTTTTTGTAAATTAACTCTTTAGTATCTCGCAACAGAAAGGCTCCTGTTGAAGTAAATCTATCTATTAGAAAACACTTTTGTGTAGAAAAGAGCAAGAAACAGAAATATTTATTTATTCCTTTTTTGTACTTATTTCAAATGTGGACAGGACAATATATCACACATTACCGTCACATTTCAAATAACTCTAGTCCTGTCACAAAGGAAAAGGAGAAGAAAGAAAAAAACAAATCTCAAGTCTCCCCTGTGCACTTTTGTTGGCGAGAAACTTTATTCATGTGTTTGTAAGGATGGATGTGATCTCTCTCTCTCTCTCTCTCTCTCTCTCTCTCTCTCTCTCTCTCTCTCTCTCTCTCTCTATATATATATATATATATATATATATGTCTTTATCTCTGTCGACAGTGGCTCAGTCGGTAGAGCATTGGCCTTTGAGCCCGAAAGTTGTGGGTTCGAGCCCACCTCGAGACGTACTTCATCAACTCCCACTGATGTCTTCTGTCGTTGTGTCCTTGGGCAAGACACTTAACCCACTTTGCCTATAAGGAGCGCGGAAGTAATGTTCGCTGATTACCTTGATGCGTGTATGTGTATGTGTAAAAATGTACAGAGAACGTCCAGGCGTTCTGCGATGTCGTCAATCTATCCCTGCGCTCAGACTGCTAATAAAATGTCCACCCAATAGTTTTCCCCGCACCACGCCGCTTCACACCACGCTGCCCCACACACAAAGCCGCGCTAATGTGTCAATTTGAAACATTTCATTTTCAAATGACCAGACCCTAGAGTTGAACAAAGAATTAAAGTTTTGTGCAAATCTGACTTTGTATGTGCAAACCGGAGCAAATGTAATATGGTCAAAAACGACCAAAAAAAGGTCACATTTTGCCGCTCCGCTGCTCAAAAAACGTTTCACTGATCAAAAATCCCTTTGGTCATTTTGAAGGTAATAAATAAATAAATAAACCAAACCAAGGAATTTTTTTTCAGCGTCTCGAGCAAAAACAATATAGGTTTCAATGGCACGTGATACATCATTTTAAAGCGTTTGAGTTTACGCATGCAACCGTCACGCCACCATTTACATTCACCATTGTGAAAGCAATAGGTCCTTACCCCGTTTGGGGCTCGGGCCTAAAAAGTACAGAGGTGTGTGTGTGGGGCACCGCCCGCGAGGGGGCGGCCGGTGCCCCAAAAAGAGGGTGCATTACAAAGTTGCGTGCACTGTTTTTGTACGCAATTACGGGAGGTGGGCCGATCCGAAAGCTCGTTTGAATCTGGATCATCATAGTTAGCTATCGTTTACATAATTACCCAGCAATTAGCAACATATTACGCCGGTATTATTGCCATTAAGCAATTAATTAACGCCAAACGTGGATCGTGGCGCGGGCCG